ACCTCAACACACACACACACACACACACACACACACACACACACACAGTCAGAGCAGTCTGAGCTATATGGTGTATGCCAAATGTATCAGACACAGAGACATGAATATGGGATTTCAGTCAAGCCCCCCAAACCCACACCAAGAACAACTGTTTACATGTATTTTGTTCCAGACCAGCTGCCTCTCTCATTATCTGTTCCTGGAGTTTGTGATACAGAAAACAGTGTATAGCCAATCAATAGCTTATGCTATTTTAGTATAAATTCTTGATAAACAACTAGGAACTGGCTCTTATATTTTCCTTAAAAACTTGTGCGGGGCACAGTGGCTCACACTTGTAATCCCAGCACTCTAGGAGCCGGAGGGGAGAGAATTACCTGAGCCTAGGGGTTCGAGACAAGCCTGGGCAACTTGATGAGATCTCTTCTCTACAAGAAATCAAAAAAATTAGCTGAGCATGGCAGTCTGCACCTGTAGTTACAGTTACTTGGAAGGCTGAGGTGGGAGGATCACCTGAGCCCAGCAGGTCGAAGCTACAGTAGCCATGACCGGTAGCCATGACCGTGTCACTGAACTCCAGGCTGCGAGACAGAGTGAGACGCCAACTCAAAAATAAAAACTCACTTGTAACTGCTGCTAATTGAAGTGTATATTCAGGACAACTTGAATCTATGCTTGTGGGTGGCTATCAAAAAGCTTTCTGAATCTTGTCACTTAAGGTTGACAAGCTAAACACTAAAATGTGCCCTTAAAGCCTGACTTGGTGGCTCATGTCTGTAATCCCAACACTTTGGAAGACCTAGGCGGGAGGATTACTTGAGCCCAGGAGTTCAAGACCAACCTGTGCAACATAGTGAGACTTCTCTACAAAAAATTAGCAAGCATGGTACTGCATGCCTATAGTCCCAGTTACGGGGGAGGCTGAGACAGAGAATTGCTTGAGGAGGCCAAGAAGTCGAGACTGCAGTGAACTGTGATTGTGCCACAGTAATCTAGCCTCGGTCAGAGTGAATCCCTACTCAAAGATAATAAATTAAAAAAGGCCCGCCGGGCTCGGTGGCTCAGCCTGTAATCCCGTGCCTTGGGAGGCTGAGGTGATGCCTTGGGAGGCTGAGGTGAGTGGATTGCCTGAGCCCGCTGGTTCGAGACCCGCCTGGGCAACTTGGTGAGACTTCATCTCTACAATAAATCAAAAAATTAGCCGGGTGTGGTAGCGTGCACCTGTAGTTCCAGCTACTTGGAAGGCTGAGGCGGAAGGATTGCCGGAGCCCATCAGGTCGAGGCTGTGGTGGCCGGGAGCGGCTACTGCACTCCAGTTTGGGCGACAGAGTGAGACTCCAACTCAAAAAAAAAAAAAGGCCAGGTGTGGTGATGCACATCTTGTAGTTCCAACTACTTGGGAGGCTGGGGTTGTGGTGATCACACCACTAGACTCCAGCCTAGGTGATAAAGTGAACCCCCAACTAAAAACAGTAAATAAAATAAAAAATAAAGGAGCTTGAGGCCAGAAGTTCAAGGCTGCAATGAGCTATGATGCCACTGCATTCCAGCCTAGGCAAGAGTGAGACCCTCCCTCTAAAAATAAAAATAAGAATAAAAAATAAAGGAGTATACAGATGTGGTAGCTCACATCTGTAATCCCAGCACTTTGGGAAGTATAGGTAGGACAATTGTTTGAAGCCAGGAATTTAAAACCAGCAGGAACAACATAGACCTTGTCTCTACAAAATAAAACACCACTTTTAGTCAGAGTTTCACCGTCACCCAAGCTAGAGTGCAGTAGCACGCTCACGGCCACTGCAGCCTCAACCTTCTGGGTTCAGGTGATCCTGCCGCTTCAGCCTTCCAAGTAGCTGGAACTACATGTGTGTGCTACCACACCCAGCTAATTTTTTGATCTATTGTACAGATGAGATCTCACCATGTTGTCCAGGCTGGTCTTGAACCCATAGGGCTTAGCTAATCCTCCCATCTCAGCCTCCTGAGTAACTGGTGCTACAGGTGCACACCACCACAATTAGCTAATTAAATTTTTTTTTTTTTGGTAGAGAGATGTCTCACTGTGTTGCCCAGACTGGTCTTGAATTCCTGGCCTCAAGCAATCCTCCTGCCTCAGCCTTCCAAAGTGCTGGGATTACAAGCGTGAACAACTGCGCTCAGTTAAAAAACACTTTTTTTTTTTAGCTGGAGCCTCATTCTGTCACCAGGCTGGAGTGCAGTGGCACGCTCACGGCCACCGCAGTCTCAATCTACTAGGCTCAAGTGATCCTTCCACCTCAGCCTTCCAAGTAGCTGGAACTACAGGCATGCGCCACCACGCCCGGCTGATTGTTTGATTTATTGTAGAGATGAGGTCTCACCAAGTTGCCCAGGCTGATCTCGAACCCGTGG